TCACTCACTCTGAAGCCCATTTCTGGTGTCCCCCTCACCGTGATGTTGCTGGAATCTTGCTAAAAGCTCTGAAAACCAAACTCACTCACTCACTCACTCACTCACTCACTCACTCACTCACTCACTCACTCACTCACTCACTCACTCACTCACTCACTCACTCACTCACTCACTCACTCACTCACTCACTCACTCACTCACTCACTCTAATCTGTGTAATGTCTGTCTTCAGGTACGAGATCCTGATGGTGTCCATGGCTCCACCAGAAGGGGAGGAGGAGAGATCACAAGCCTACTATGTCATCAAGGTAAAAACAATGTCTTGAAATTCACCTGAAATCTTCACTTGAAGCTTTGACGGCTGCCAGTTGTGCAGGCAAGCCAGCAATTATGTCAAACCCTGAGTAGGCTGATGAATTTCTTCTGTCCTGAAGACTGTCAGCTAAATTGACCTCTGGGGTTCGCTTCTTTTCAACTTTATCAAAAGCTAAGTGAAGCTCTGTATTAAATCCTGATCCTGCCTAAGCCCTGTTGAGTGTCTGGGTTTTAATTTGTTCTATGAAACTTGTTCTTATCATAAGAGGGGCGGTGGGGTAGCCTAGTGGTTAAAGCGTTGGCTCGCCACGCCGAAGACCCGGGTTGGAATCCCCACATGGGTACATTGTGTGAAGCCCATTTCTGGTGTCCCCCGCCGTGATGTTGCTGGAATATTGCTAAAAGCGGCGTAAAACCAAACTCAGTCAGTCAGTCAGTCTTATCATAAGATGCTGACATATTGGATCAGTGCTTCGGCTCTTTGACTTGGTTGATTGGGTGTCTTCATGCCAAGGCAGATCGTTGCTCATGACATCAATCACTGGTTTGTCTGGTCCATACCCGATTATTTGAATCATTTTGCTGGGATATCATTGAATCTGGCATTAAACAAAAAACAACAATTCTAACGGTAGTGTTTGTCCCCAGGCTGCCCAGGACAAGGAAGAGTTGCAGCGAGAGGGCGATGAGCTTGATGCACAAATCAGGAAGGCCGAGAAAGAGATCCGAGCTCTAGAGAACACTCTCAAACTGATGAACAGCCGGAACGAAACATACAGGAAGAGCTTCAACAAGATCACAGAGACAAGTGAGTGCTTTAGTACGGCGACAAATGTATTGAAGAGATTCAGTAAAGCATTTTTGAAATTATGTGAAATATTTTTGTACTGAAGAATGTGTGATGCAGGTGATGCTGTACTGAAGTATGTGTGGCGTAGTTGATGTTGTATTGAAATATCAGTGCTACAGGTGAGTGAATATGGCTTTACTTCTCTTTAAGCAATATTCCAGCAATATCACGGCAGGAGACACCAGAAATGGGCTTCACTCATTGTACCCGTGTGGCAAATCGAACCCGAGTCATCAGCACAAAGAACGAACACTTGAACCACTAGGCTACCCCAGCTGGTGATGTGACCGCCTCCGTGGTGTAGTGGTTAGAGCGTCCGCCCGGGAGAGCGGAAGGTCGCGGGTTCAATCCCCGACCGCGTCATACCAAAAAGACGTTAAAAATGTTGGTCCCTGCCTGGCGCTCGGCATTAATGGGTACAACAAGGACTGGTCGACTCGGAATCAGTATAATGTGTCTGAGAGGGGTATTCATGCTTCACTGCGTTATGGTATCTCAGTGGGCTAGCACTATAAAAAAAAACAGCTTAAGTCTGGGCTAGTACAAGCAGCCGCACATACACATACACACGCATGCATGTCGTATATGAGCAAAATATTTTCAAGCACGGCGTTAAACCAAATGTCACCTCACCTCACCTGGTGATGTTGTTGTGCAGTGTATGTGTTGTTGATATTGTAATCAAGTAGAGGCGGTGGGGTAGCCTAGTGGTTAAAGTGTCCACTCTTTGCACTGAAGACCCGAGTTTGATTCCCCACTTAAATTACATTTGTGACATCATTCCATTGTCTGCTCGCTCCATTCCTGAAAAGTAATGGAGCGAGCAGACAATGGAATGATGTGTACCAGTTTCAAATTAAAGCCTTCATTTTGTCATTTTGACATTTACTTTTGATAACAGAAATATTCCCAATACTTTGAATGTAATTCAAGTAGGGTAATATCCTCGTAACTCTCCATTCCTTAAAAATAATGTGCCTCGGCCCCTCCGGCTGAGTTACTCGGACATTAATAATAATAATAATAATGTGTCCATTTATATAGCGCCAAACTCCACACTAGGTATGCTCATAGCGCTAACAATCAAGGCACAGCACATTATTACCCAGGATAACCCAAGCTGCCTGTTATGCACTAGAAGGTTATAGTCATATGACTTTTTCCACCGGGTACCCATTTTCCTGCTGGGTGAACAGAGACAATTTTGAACAAACTCACTTGCCTAAGGTGAGACCACATGTGTCACATGTGCTTCGTAGTGGGGCAGGACTCAGTCCTAGAAACTCTCAGGAGTCAAGCTGCCAAACAGGGTCACCCATCCAAGGACTCTCCGAGCTCGACGCTTCTTAACTTCACCGATTTGTGACCTGAGCTTTGAGCACAGGACCACGCGGCGCCACACATTACCCTCTACATATTGGAGCGAAGGTTACAACATATGTCATGCATTTCAGGATCAAATAAACCTAAACCCTTTGGACTTTTCACTTCAAGCGAGGGCAGGGGGGTAGTCTAGTGGTTAAAGCGTTTGCTCATCACACAGAAGACCCGGGTTCGATTCCCCACATGGGTACAATGTGAGAAGCCCATTTCTGATGTCCCCTACAGTGATATTGCTGGAACATTGCTAAAAGTGGCATATAACCATGCTCACTCACTCTCACTCACTCACTCACTCACTCACTCACTCACTCACTCACTCACTCACTCACTCACTCACTCACTCACTCACTCACTCACTCACTCACTCACTCACTCACTCACTCACTTGCTCACTCTCTGTAATCAGGTATATGTGTATGGGTGATGTTGTAATGAAGTGAATGTGCTGCAGGTGATGAGATGGAGGAGAAGCAGCAGCTGGAGGAGCAGATGCGGGCTGTGATGGACAAGTACAAGTACAAGAGGAGGCAGATCCGGGAGCTCCAGGACGACCTACAGGTAGGGGAGACTACTCTGGCTTATTTTCCATGTTGCCACTATTCATGTATTTCAAAGGTTTTCAGTCATCAAAATGATCCTTTATTCAGAGGTTTCAGATGTAATTGCTCTTTGAGGATTCTGAATCAGAATAGGGCCTCAGTAATGCTTGTGTTCAGAACTGACTTAAATGGCATTAGGAAGTTTCACAGGGTAGATAAATGTGTGTCATTATACTTTTATAGCGTGAATGTTTGTTCATGCTGTCAGTCATTGGTTTGCATGACCAGATTTTATATAGGTAACTGTGATCTAGCTGGAACATTGCTTCAGCATTTAACAACATTCATTCACAATCAAAATGTCCAGATTCATGTACTGCACATAAGCAACAAAGTCCCCTACACAATATCTGATGCATTGATATGTGCAGGTATACATCAAAATGACTGGATGATTCTGTTGATTTCCAGACAATGAGCAACACTCTGGACAATCTTGCACGAGATGAAGATGCATATGTTGATATGATTGAGGACAAGAAGGTAGATACTACATGCTTTTTATACTGAATTATTGTTTTGACCCGATGACAACCACAAACCCCACACCCACAACCCCAAACCAACCCCATGACAACCCCATGCTTAGCCATGGCCCATGCCCCAAAACCAACCCATGCTAATCCCATGCCTACGCCCACACCCAAAACCAAGAAACAATCCACAACCCAAACCAAAAACCCACATCCCACATCCCAAACCCTAACCCCAAACCCCCAAACCCCCAACCCCTCCTTTTTTGTTAAAAGTCTGTGATCCACCATTGACTTTTATTGATGTTGTGAGTCTCTAAAAGTTGTCAGTGTATTTAATGCAGAAATCATTATTTTGTTAACAAATGCAAATTCATTTGTTTTCAGAATAGAATTCTCCAACTGACCAAAGACCTTGAAGTCCAGAGAACAAAACTGGAGAGAGTTTCAAAACAGGCATGTATATCCTCAAAATGACTCTGTTACAGATTAGATAAGTAAAAAAATCCAACTGCGTAGAAGTGTGTATGGTACATGCTGTCTTAATCATGTTTCATCCAAAAGAATTAAATGTTAAACATGATTATATCCTCTGTATTATAACGTTTAAGAGACACCCTTTCACACATTATATATCTAAATGACAAACACAAACTTGAACTTCAAATTGACAATACTAATGAAATCCATTAAAATACGTAGGTCAAATTACACTGAACATGGAACTTACTGATGTGATGTGTAGAAGAAGACAAGCTGAAAGGTTGCTGACATACTGTGTTGGTACTGCACTTATTGTGGTAAATGTTTTTCTTCGTATTCCAGAATGCCAAATATGCAAGAGAGGTCCGTTCTGCCAAAAAGAGCAAGGGTGAAACCCCAGAAGAGGTAAGCTTTCTCTTTGGGAGTTATTCAAGTATTCCTACAAATCTGCTCTATCTTGTCTCGGGATGATGTTTTGCCTTCTGTCATTTTCCTGATTGCTTTATTTTTCATTTTTGAATGTTTGAAAGCTGTTGAATCATGTCTAGCTAGTTCTTGTGTTGTTGTTCCAGCGTGACTTTGAAGTCCGTGAGATGCGTGAATTCAACAAGAATGTTATGAAGGGTGTCTCAGATGTTGTACAGGTCCACTCGGAGCTGAATGAAGCTGTCAACATGTACTTCTCTCAGGTCAGTAGCCAATCTGGCAGGTTATCATGTGACGCCCTTACATCAGTAGGCCCTAAAACACTTTGTCCAGTCAATACAGGCCATCACAAACTTTGTCCTGTGTTTTCCAATCATAAGCCATCAGAGACCTATAAAGCACACAGGTCAGTAGCCCATCAGAGAGTGATAAAACACTTCCAGATTAGTAGCCCATCAGAGCATGATAAAACATTTTTAGATTAGTAGCCCATGAGAGAGTAATAAACTACTTCCAGATTAGTAGCCCATCCTGGAGTTACAAAACACTTTCAGATTAGTAGCCGATCAGAGAGTGATGAAACACTTTCAGATTAGTACTAGTAGCCCATCAGAGCATGATGAAACATTTTTAGATTAGTAGCCCATGAGAGAGTAATAAACTACTTCCAGATTAGTAGCCCATCCTGGAGTTACAAAACACTTTAAAATTAGTAGCCGATCAGAGAGTTACAAAACACTTTCAGATTAGTAGCCCATCAGAGAGTGATAAAACACTTTCAGTAGCCCATCAGATAGATTGTGATGTAACACATGTAACTCTGTATCCAGGCTAACCTGCCACCCCCTACACCAAGCGGCCACCGTCCAGGCAGTTCTCGCAGCAGCCTGTCCTCAGCCCGCAGCTCTGTGTCCAGCATCAAGAGCATCCAGTCAACCCGCAGCAGACCTGCCTCCATACAGATCGGGGCGGACTTTGAAGGTCAGTGTCCAGGGTTTCCAGGGTTTCTGTAAAATGCATTAAAAGTACACACTGTGCACACTGTATGTGCCCGACCCCCATGTAACACCCTCAGATCATATCTTAGACTAACCGGGGCGGTGGGGTAGCCTAGTGGATAAAGCGTTGGTTCGTCACGCCGAAGACCCGGGTTCGAATCCCCACATGGGTACAATGTGTGAAGCCCATTACTGGTGTCCCCCTCGTGATGTTGCTGGAATATTGCTAAAAGCGGCGAAAAACCAAACTCAGTAAGTCACACTAACCTGGAAGTATTCTTTATGCCTTTAAAAATTTATAATCCATGTTTTCTGTGCATATTGGCTGTGATATTGGTTGTTATATTGCTAAATAGTTATCATAAGGTCATGTGGCTATCATGTAGTTATCATCAGGTTATCATGTGGCTATCATGTAACTACCATAAGATTATCATATAGCTGTCATGTGGTTAACATGTTGTTATCATGTGGTTATCCTGTAGTTATCATGTGTGGTAATGTTGTTACATGGTTATCATGTGGTTATCCTCCTGCCCAGGTCCTGGATCTCCAGGCAGTGCCCGCAGCGGCAGCTCCATCGCCAGTGTACGCAGCGACCGCAGCCGTACCAGCGTCACCGGCCCCAAGTAACAGACCACCTGCATTCCCTCCAGCCATCTGTGATATGTCTTTCAGAAGATCTTTTAATATAGTACTTATACTTAAGTTTATTTCATTGAAGGAACATTCCAATTTATTCTGTTTTTAAATCATTACTTGTGTAATAGGAGGATTCAAGAGTTCTCAAAATTAATGCTTAGAATTTAAGTACGTTTATCCTCCTGAGGAGAAAAATGAAGATTACCTCTTGCAGGGAACATATTCATTTACTTGTATTTTTATGTCAAGTACAAAAGTTCATCACCTGTAAGCCAGGTGTTTTAAGCTTTCACTTGTTTCCTTTTTGTTTTTCTTCTTTATTAATGAAATATCACCCAATGCTTTTTCTCACAGCATGACTGGGCTTGTTTCACAATACTGGATAGATGAGGCCAGACTTGATGCTGGATACTCTTTTAGCAAGTGATTGTATTGTCTCGTGTGGAAATGAGATGTTTCAAACTGAAAAGTATTTATTGTACATTCATATTTGTCTTACCATTGTAAATAATATTAAGTGTGTATTTATACAAATGTATAGAAAAGCTTGTCCAGCATGAATTGTGAATCACACATTAAATAATGTAAAGTGGGAAATTTTTAGATTAGTAGCCCATCAGAGAGTAATAAACTACTTTCCAGATTAGTAGCCCATCAGAGGTGATAAAACACTTTCAGATTAGTAGCCCATCAGAGAGTGATAAAACACTTCCAGTAGCCCATCAGATGGGTTGTGATGTAACACATGTAACTCTGTATCCAGGCTAACCTGCCACCCCCTACACCAAGCGGCCACCGTCCCGGCAGGCAGTTCTCGCGGCAGCCTGTCCTCAGCCCGCAGCTCTGTGTCCAGCATCAAGAGCATCCAGTCATCCACATGGCAGACCTGCCTCCATCCAGATCGAGGTAGGACTTTGAAGGTCAGTGTCCAGGGTTTCCAGGGTTTTCTGTGAAATGCATTAAATGTACACTGTGCACACTGTATGTGCCCCCACCCCATTTAACACCCTCAGATCATATCTTACACTAACCTGGAAGTATTCTTTATGCCTTGAAAATTTATAATCCATGTTTTCTGTTCATATTGGTTATGATATGGTTATCATGTGGCTATCATGCATGGTTATATTGCTAAATAGTTATCATAAGGTCATGTGGCTATCATTTTAGTTATCAGGTTATCATGTGGCTATCATGTAACTACCATAAGATTATCATATAGCTGTCATGTGGTTATCATCAGGTTATCATGTGGCTATCATGTAACTACCATAAGATTATCATATAGCTGTCATGTGGTTATCGTGTGGCTATCATATAGTTATCATGTGTGGTAATGTTGTTACATGGTTATCATGTGGTTATCCTCCTGCCCAGGTCCTGGATCTCCCGGCAGTGCCATGGCGGCAGCTCCATCGCCAGTGTACGCGACCTTGCCAGCCGATACCAAGCGTCACCGGCCCAAGTAACAGACCACCTGCATTCCCTCCAGCCATCTGTGATATGTCTTTCAGAAGATCTTTTAATATAGTACTTATACTGAAGTTTATTCCATTGAAGGAACATTCCAATTTATTCTGTTTTAAATCATTACTTATGTAATAGGAGGATTCAAGAGTTCTCAAAATTAATGCTTAGAATTTAAGAATGCGTTTATCCTCCTGAGGGAGAAAAATGAAGATTACTTCTTGCAGGGAACATATTCATTTACTTGTATTTTTATGTCAAGTACGAAAGTTCATCACCTGGAAGCCAGGTGTTTTTTAAGCTTTCACTTGTTTCCTTTTTAATGTTTCTTCTTTTTTTTGACTGAAATATCACCCAATGCTTTTCTCACAGCATGACTGGGCTTGTTTCACAATACTGGATAGATGAGGCCAGACTTGATGCTGGATACTCTTTTAGCAAGTGATTGTATTGTCTCGTGTGGAAATGAGATGTTTCAAACTGAAAAGTATTTATTGTACATTCATATTTGTCTTACCATTGTAAATAATATTAAGTGTGTATTTATACAAATGTATAGAAAAGCTTGTCCAGCATGAATTGTGAATCACACATTAAATAATGTAAAAGTGGAAATTTGTGTTGTTTTCATTAACTGATGTTATTCTCCAGTTTTACACATTGACATTTACGCTCCACCGTTTTGTAACGGACCTTCTCAGGTAGGTTTTAGTAAGAGAAGGTTTTAGTAATGAGGAGGCAAGAAAAAGCCAGAAGCACTCATAAAATGGCGAGTATTTCACTTCATGGAATCCATGTTTCCGTGTGGTTGTGATTTGCAGAACACATCAGGTTTTGTCCTGAACCATGGCCCTAATCATATAGGACTCACATCCAGGTTATTCCCACTATTTCAGATATACATTTCACTTTCCATTAACATGTTTCCGGCGGGACCTCTCCCTTTGACTGAAATATCGGAACTTAAAAATATGCAACGAAACCAGGTTATTTACAAGGTAGAATTGTAATAAAAAACGTAAAAGTGTAATAACCCTTGACACAAATTGTAATAAATATGTAGATTGTAATAAAATTGACGTAAATTGTAATAATTTTAGTTCGCGGTAAAATGTAATAAATATTTACGTAAATTGTAATAACAGTTTTAATCATTAGTAAAGACGCCTGAGTTCGTTTTTTCGTTGATTTTCATAAATTCTATAAGCTTGTTAGGGCCATAACTCTAGAAATGATTGATTTTGTTCAAATATGGTACCAAGGTGTGGCGAGATTCACTGACACCAGTTGAATTTAGTGATCTTGAGATAATTTGCAATTTGATCCAATTTTATATCAAGGTGTATTGGCGGGATTCCCCTACACCAGTTGATTGTGGAACTTATTTTGAGTTCACAGCGAAAATTGTATTGTTTTGCACATGTCTAAGTTTTTAGTGCGAAACACAAGAAAGAATTAGTGTATTCTGCTTAAAAGCAGTGTCCCGGGCTGTTTCAAGGTTTGTTTGGGATATCTGTCTCTTCAAACACAGAAGTCCATCAGTGGGTCCACAACACTTTATTCGTCAGCTGAGTATGTAATTACATGATAGTGCAGCAACGGCCAGGCGGCATCACAGAGACGAGCGTCAGCCCACCTGCCTAGCCGCTGTCTGACGGTCAAGTCCCCTTACATTAAGAATTCATTGTCTATACTATACCGACTGTCAGGCTGTCCTGTATCGTATTACGATACATGTATGGTCAACCTGCAGTATCCAGCATGCACCTCATCTACAATGTTAAACTTCCGTGGCCAGCCGGCCATACTCTAAGGTTAATTAGGGTTAATTACACGCAGGCAGCTGATCTGTACATGGCTGTGCTGATGGTCATGATAATAAGCTGCTGATATTTCATGTATATCGTCAGCACTCTGATTTAGATTTAGATAACACAACTTTAACTTAACTTAGAGAATATACAAACATGTCTATATTTCCCGATAAAACTCACACCCCGCCAAAGCCCTACGATAGTAGTAGGCCTACCAAAATGTGTTGGGAGTATTGTCTAACGCCAGTCGAATTCAGTGATCTTAGGATAATTTTCAAGTTCACGAGTGAGTATTCGTGTGATATCCCCAAACTAATGGATGGAATTTGTTCGCATTTTGTATCAAAGCATCCGATGACAGTTCGGATACATTGAGATCATTTTCAGGGTCACGTAGAGGATTTTTGCGATATTCAGATATCGACATGTGGCGGGGGTAAAAACCTTTCATTACGGATTTTCAAAATGTTGTCAGAATTTGTTTCTATAAGTTCATGTTGTAAAATTATTCGTGACACGTCTTTAAACTACCAGAGATTATTTGTGTTTGTTTTGAATATTGAAGTTAATTGTTTTTCACTATGGAGTTATTTTCACTGTTGACGCAATGACACATTTTACAAGAAATAGCTTTCCATATTTTAATGTTAATTCTATTACATTTTGAAGTTATTCATGGCATATAAAAATTAACAGGATATTGTTTGTTTACGCTTTGAAAAGAACGTTTATTCTTCTTCATTTTGGGGGGAGGGGCGGTGGGGTAGCCTAGTGGTTAAGGCGTTCGCTCGTTACGCCGAAAACCCGGGTTCGATTCCCACATGGGCACAATGTGTTAAGTCCATTTCTGGTGTCCCCCGCCGTGATATTGCTGGAATATTGCTAAAAGCGGCGTAAAACTAAACTCACTCACTCACTCACTCATTTTTTGGGCGGTGGGGTAGCCTAGTGGTTAAAGCGTTCGCTCGTCACGCCGAAACCGGGTTCGAATCCCCACATGGGTACAATGTGTGAAGCCCCTTTCTGGTGTCCCCGCCGTGATGTTGCTGGAATATTGCTAAAAGCGGCGTAAAACCAAACTCACTAAGTCAGTCTCCTTCATTTTGGAATTATTTTCAATGTTGACGCAAGGACATATTTGAAGTTAATTTGATGTTTTGATCATATGTGATATATTATGATTTATGTTTCGATCATACATTCATATATTGCGTTGTCACAGTTTAACCTGGTTCGTATTATATTCTTCATCATATTACTACATATTACTGTATTTTTTATGAGAGGAAATTTGATGTTAAGGGTTACCACAAGACGTCAAGGCCGCCATGTTGTGCGACAGCATGTACAGAATCCCTTCATGGAGGCATCCGAAACAGCACGCCAGACGGTGGGAACACACGGAAGACCAATCAGTACTGATACAGTACGCCGACGTCTTAACAGCGGGAACCTCCATTTCCGTAGACCTTACCGTGGACCTATCCTCATCCCTCGTCATCGGTGTGAACGTCTACAGTTTGCCCTACAACACCAAAACTGGCGATACAGGCAATGGAGAACGGTTCTGTTAACAGATGAAATATAAACTGCAGATGGCAGATCAAGAATATGGCAATTTTGATAACTATTTATCACCTCAGTCTACTGAATCAGGTGGTTACTACTTCATCGGGACCCATACCCCTCTTGTCACTGATGATTTAGTATAAAGATTAACAGTTTAGCAAAGGTTTTTAATAATTCAATTCATGGATTGTTATTTGTGAATGATGTTAACATTTCCAGTCGTGGAAAAAGTATGCATTCTATTGAAGATAAATGGCGTTTGGAGTTAAATTTTCAAAATCAAAAACTAACTGTATCCATTTTTATCGCAAATATAAACCTCACAAAGACCCAGACTTATGTTTAGATAACACACCTATATATTAAAGTGGTAAAAGAAGCGAAATTCTTGGTTGTAATTTTTTATGAGCACTTGCACTTTCGATCTCATATTAAATATTTTAAAATAAATGCCTGAAGGCCCTTGATTTGCTAAGTTATGTCTAATACAAAGTGGGGAGGTGATCAGAAAACCCTCCTCAAA